CAGAGCCCCCCCCCCGGCCCCTCGCCCCGGGGGGAGGATGAGCCGAGCAGCCTGGAGGCGGCGGGAGGGAGCTTCTCGGTGGCCGGCCTGGACGCCCCGGTTCTCCGGCGGTTTTCAAAGTGCAGCTCGAGTCGGTGGAGATCTTCCTTGGGGTCTGACTGAGAGGCGGGCGCGACCCCGACGCTGCGAGCCGCTCAGCGGGTTGAAACGGCTTGAAGACTGTTCCGAAAAGGGCGCCCATCCCTGCCTGAGGTCCCGCGCTNACGAGCGCGCGCGCGTGGCGCGGCGTGGCGCGGGGTGGGGTGCGGTGGGGTGCGCGACGCCGTCTGCCGGCTGAGGGATTGCCCCCACCTGGGCGGTCTCGCCCCCGACGCCCCTCGCAGGGCCCCACCTGTGCCCTGGAACTCAGCCAGGCGCCGCCGGCGATCCCCGGGCGCNNNNGGCGATCCCCGGGCGCGCGGGCGCGCAGGTTCCCCGGCCCCAGGTGGAGGGGCGGAGAAGCTGGCCGGGGATCAGCTTCGTTTTCAATTGGGGGGAAAAAAATAAAATAAAAAAATAAAAATCCTGGGGAGTGTTCCCCGGGGCATTAGTTCTGAACGACGAATTCGTAGCAGGTTCGCTGACGTCCATAAGCGGGATGCCCTATGTATCCCGTGTAGCTAAGTAAAGTAAACTTTCCCCCGGTTAGACAGGGTCTGCGGAAAGAGTTTTCTAAAGGGATCTGTACGTTATCAAGAGTGGTGACTTGACGTTTTCAGGATCCCTGCAAGTTGGTATAGGGATTGCACACAAAAAGTGTGCTTTCTACCTTTAGAGTAGATGATTTTCGGGTAGATGGATTTTGAAGAGGAGACAGTTTCCCCATTTTGGCAATGTAGGAAATGTTCACCATATTTGGATTTGCTTCACTTCTGGGACAAAGATTTCACCAAGCTCACATGAAAGTTGGTGATGGTGGAGATGGATAGCCCATTGAACTAATTACAGTTAGTTAAAGTGGGCACTGGGGCTAGATAAAGCTTCTGCCCCTTTCACTTCCTGGGCCCAGATTTATTGGTGGAGCTAGGTTTCCCCACCCCCACCCCCCAAAAAGGTAACCGATCGGAATCACTGAAAAGAATCTGCTGGAATATTTGGGCCAGTGCTGAGCTCAGTGTAGGGCCCCCTATAACAAATTTACTATTTCTCCCAGGGGCTGTAGTATATGCACAACTCCTGTGTATCTGTGATCCCAGATGTGTCTTCTGATCCACAGACGCTTTATCTGACATTTTTCCTGGTTCGATGATTTATAATATAAAATAAAGCATAAAGTTATAAAGACTTTAAGACTTTAAACTCTCATTTAGTAAACAGATCTGGAGATGAACCCCATCAAGATTGAATCACTTACACAATCTTATCTAAATTAGGTTGTTTAAAAAGCAGAACCCAGGGGCCCAATCTAGGTTCTATTCCACTATCCAAGGCTCTATACCCAAATATCAGTTTTATGTTCTTTTTCCAAAATAAAAATCTTTCTAAAATTGTGTTTCAGTGCTTTGAGCTCTTGCTCCAAGGGATGAATTCATCTTAGTAGTTTTAAAACAAGCCTTTCTTATGATTGTATTTCCAGACTAAGGACACTTAAAGGTAAATTAATTTTGGTTTAAAAAAATTATGCAGATGTTATAACCCATGACCCTAAATTCCAAGACTGAGTTTATAAAGCAGACCATCATGACAGTCAATGAATCGGGTCACCAATGAGATAGCTGAGCTATTCTCAGTGCCACCGATAGAATTTCCAAATAGTCACTAAGCAGTGTTATACACATGAACTAACTTCTGATTTTTTTTACAATTTTAAATTTTTTGCAGACGGAAATTGCAAAGCCAGACTGACAGCATAATTTTCTCGGAATCAATAATCAACATTGGGTTATTTCCTAAGATTAAACTTTGAAAGCCCATTTGGAGGCTGCACAGCCATCTGCACACTTGAACATGAAAAACGGTCTTCTTCTGTCAGGGAGATCTCCCTCTTCAGCTAAATCATCAGAAGTGGTGAGAAGAAGGAGGGACCCCTACCCGACCAGACTCATCCAGACAAATTAAATCAGTCTTTTTTGAAGAAGGCTGCACAAGCGTAACAAGATCGCCATGTTCTGCTCCTACCAGCACTGAGCAGCCCCATCCAGGACTGCCTGCCACCTACATGCAGGCGGTGCCCTGAACAGGGACGCCTGGCGGAGGCAGCCAATGGGAGCTGACATTCTGCTCCCACTCCACTCACCTAGCAGAGTGTATGATGCATGGCCTCGTCTACCCAGACAGTGTGGCTCCTTCTGATTTGCACCAAGGCTAGAAGCAACTAGGACCATCCCACCCCCATCCAGTCTTATCCAGGATTCTATTCCGTACTTCAGATAGATTAAAGGTTCTCATGAACAATTTAGGTTTACTGTAAAAGATGAAATATTTGACACAATTGAAATTGAATAGGTAAAGCTCTAAATATTACCATGCGTATGAATTACATATGTATATGTTTATATATATATGCACTCATAGTTATGTTGATACACATTTATTTGTATCAGAAGTTAGCACAACTTAAATATGGTAAATGTTTAAAGTAAAAGTATTTAGGGTTAGTAAACAACGAATGGGTTACCAATAAGATCAAGAAAGAAATCAAAAACTTCCTGGAAACATGCAAATGAACACACAAGAACCCAAAATCTATGGGACACAGGAAAAGCAGTCCTAAGAGAGAAGTTCATAACACTGCAAGCCTACCTCAAACAGCAAGAAAAATTTTTAGTAAACTATCTAACCCTACAACTTAGAGAATTAGAAAACTCCCCTGTGAAACTGTCCGGACCAGGGCTTTTGTTTGCTGGGAGTTTTTTTTATTGCTGCTTCAATTTCATCAGCTGTTATTAGCTTATTCAGGTTTTCTGATTCTTCCTGATCCAGTTTTACATGATCTCACTCATAGGTGGAATCTAATAAACAAAATAGACTGAGGAAGAAAATAGATCCAGAGACATAGAACCATGGAACAGACTGAGGAATCTCATGGGGAGGTGGGGGTGGGGAGTGGGTGGGGAGAGATTAATCAGAGAATTTATATGCATATATGCATAACCCATGGACACAGACAATAGTGTGGGGAAGGCCTGGGGTGGGGGAAAGTGGATGCAGGGTGGAGGGGATCAATGGGGGGGAAAAGGGAGGGATATCTGTAATACTTTCAACAATAAAGATAAAATTTTTAAAAAGGTATTGGGGTATTGCAATCAGTTTTGTATATGGATTCCTGGACTTCACGAAAATATGCAGTATTTCATCCCATTTCTTCAGATTTATATTAAGTGTCAGACACCGTGCTAAGCAATCTGTGTACAGTAATGAAAAGAGATAAACACCTTGCCTCTAGGTATTTAATCTAGTAAGAAAGAAAGACGATAAGGTCATGAATTTATGATTATGACTTGTGGTAAGAGCTATAAAAAAAGGCAAGATGGAGAATAACAAGGCACACTTATTTCAGCTTAAGTGACCAGAAAAAACCTCTCCATGAAATGACATTTCAGTGGAGACCTGAGGATGAGTCGGAAGGAGTTTGTGAAGTGACTCCACCCTGCCACTTAAAGTTCAGAATTCAAAATAGAATGTGATATATTAA